TTCGCCTCTCCCATCCTGTGTGTTCGCAAGTCAAATGGCGATCTGCGCATCTGCGTGGACTATCGGAAGCTCAACCAACTGACTCGGAAAGATGCGTATCCGATACCCCGCATAGACGAACTGCTTACGCGACCATCCAAAGCAAAGATCTTCTCTAAGTTGGATATCCGCGCAGCCTTCAATCGAATACGGATAGATCCCGCCTCAGAGGAGTACACAACCTTTCGGACTCGTTACGGGACCTACAAATGCAAGGTACTACCATTTGGATTGACCAACGGCCCTGCGACCTATCAACGGTACATGAACGATGTTTTGATTGACTATCTTGACGATTTTTGCATCGCCTACCTCGACGACATCCTTATCTACTCCGACGACCCTAGGACTCACCAGTCACACGTCGAAAAAGTTCTAGAGAGGTTGCGAATCGCAGGACTCCAGGCTGATATCAAGAAAAGCGAGTTCCACGTCACAAGGACGAAGTATCTAGGTTATATCCTCACCAACCAAGGAATTGAGGTTGACCCTGACAAAGTAGAAGCCTTACGAAACTGGGAGCGACCTACAACCATTACTGGTGTGAAATCGTTTCTAGGATTTACAGGTTTCTATCGACAATTCGTACCCAATTTCTCTCGCGTAGCTAAGCCGCTGATCGTATTACAAAGCCCCTCTATCCCCTTCAACTGGACCACAGAGTGCGATGTCGCTTTTGAGCACCTTAAAGCGGCCTTACTGTCAATTCCGACCCTGTGCCATTTCGACCCTGAGTACGATACGAAACTGGAGACCGACGCCTCTGATGGTGTGGTTGCAGGAGTACTATCGCAAAAACACCCTGACGGAAAATGGTACCCAGTTGCGTTCTACAGCCAAGTCTTATCCGGTTCGGAGCTGAACTGGGAGATACACGATAAGGAGTTGTTCGCCATACACCAAGCTTTCTGCAAGTGGAGAGCGGAACTAACGAGTGCCCGATCTCGCGTCCAAGTGTTCTCTGACCATAGAGCACTAGAGTACTTCATGACAACCAAAGTACTTAGTGCAAGACAAGTTCGTTGGGCAGAGACTATGGCCCCGTTTAACTTCCGAATCGAGTATACTCCGGGTGCAAGCAACGCCAGAGCAGACATCTTAAGCCGTAGGGAACAAGATCTGAGTGACTTACGGGTTGCCCAGCGAGACAATCGTTCACGCGTTTTCCTAGGCCCGAATCGACTCGACACTCGTATCAACTCCGATCTCGCCCAGAAGTACATAGGAGATCAACAACCCGACGCCCAAATCCACGTGCTTAGTACCAGCAAGCGCCATATGGACCTAGACTCGTTAGAATTGATCGAAGCGTTACTACAGGACAACCGGACCGGTTTCGGTCTGGAACGCGAAAGTTTGCCCAACCAGTATCGCGTCAGCAATGGACTATTGCTCTACAAGGATCGTCTCTGCGTTCAGGCAGACTCTACCCTCTGTACACGGTTGATTCGGGAGGTCCACGACCAAGTATCATCTGCGCATCCAAGTGCAAAGAAGACTTATCAGTTATTGTCTGAGAAATATCACTGGAAAGGTATGGAAACTTCATGTCAACGTTATGTTCGTAACTGCATTCCGTGCCGAAGAGGACATCCGAAGCAGACCCGACTCCAAGGTTACCTCCATCCCTTGCCTATCCCAGACCGACCCATGCAACATCTTTGTATGGACTTCAAGGATTTTCCGCCAGACAAAGCCGGTTACGACCAGATCATGGTAATCATCGACCGCCTGTCCAAACAAGCAATCACGATACCATGTCATAAGAACATAAACGCCCGAGGTATGGCCAACCTGTTCATCCAATGGGTGTACCGATTCGGCCACACCCCAGAGTCTATTGTGTCAGACCGTGGTCCACAATTCGTGTCTACTTTCTGGTCCGCCTTCTGCGATATCATTGGTGTGAAGGTCAAACTGTCAACCGCCTATCACAAGGAAACGGATGGTCAAACCGAAATCATGAACAAGTATATCGACCAGAGATTGCGCCCGTTCGTATCCTACTACCAGGATAACTGGAGCGATCTACTGCCCATGATTGACCGAGCCCAAATGACCCTACCCCACTCAGCAATTGGTATGGCCCCGTATCAGGTCCTCTTTGGTTCTGAACCAAAGCAGAGCTGGTTCTGGAACGACCAACCGGTGAAAGGAAAAGGACCAGAAGCCATAAACCGCAAGGATGCCTTAGCCCTGGCCACTCGCATGCATGACGCCTGGGCCACAGCCAAGAAGAACATGGAACAGGCTCAACTCCGAATGCAGACCGCAGTCAATAAGCATCGTCAACCAGTCGATTGGAAGGTTGGCGATATGGTCTATCTAAGCACCAAGAACCTGTCGAACCCGCGCCCCAGCAGAAAGCTATCTGACCTGTGGGAAGGTCCATTTCGAGTACTAGAACAGGTGGGACATTCATACCGACTTGACTTACCTAAGGGATCTCGCATCCATGATGTGTTCGCCCCAAATGTGTTGTGCAAAGACCCCCAGGACCCACTCCCAGGACAAGAAGCGCCGAAACCCTCAGGTATCCCTATCCAAGGCGTTGAAGAGTGGGAAGTGGAAGAAATCCTAGCCAGCAAGCTCCATCGCGCAACCCTGAAGTATCAGGTCAAGTGGGTAGGCCACGATCAGGATCCTACTTGGTATAACGCCTCCAACTTTATGGGCGCCCCCCACAAGTTAAGAGCGTTTCACGAACAATATCCGAATAAGCCAGGACCTCCAAGAGGTCTGGACAAATGGATCGACGCGTGGGAGAAAGGAATGGAAGACATGTCGCAGCTAAAGGATGACAAAGTGAGGGAGAACAAACGCAGTTTGTTATAACACGCTATCTACGGGTACAAACTGGCCAGTTTCAGACCCCGCCTCAGGCCTCACGGCAGGTCCATCTCGTCACCTGAAAATTCATGAGGCACGTCAGACAGCTCGCTGTCCGACTCCGCCCCGACTGCTCCTCCTAAACCACCATCATATCCATTCCCCCTTCCACCACTTGGACGACCACCCCGTCCACCTCGTTGTCCTGTTCCACCCCGACTCCCTCCTTCCACAAGACCCTGCAAAGCTTTTGTTAGCTCCACCTGAGCTCCCGCCACCTTCTCGACAGCCGCCGCCAGATCAGCCATCTGAACCTGAAGGACCCGATTCTCCTCCGCTACCCGATAGTAGTCCGCTAGTAGCACATCTACCACCAACACGCTCTTGAGCTGGGCAGTCGCTACCTGCACACAGCTCGCCAGCGCGAAGGCGGCAGCCCGGACCCTAGCCTCCGTGATGTGGCGGTCATGAATCACGTCGCTGCCAAGCGCGACCTCGTACTGTCCGAGGGCCTGCCAAAAGACGGAGAATTCGCTTTCCACATAAGTGGGAAGCTAAAATCTGTTAATGTATAACTAGGCAAGGGCCAGTATCGGATTCGTACCGGAACACACTTCTCGTTTTGAAAAGTGCAGTACGCACACTTCTTGGAGCTCATTGACGAAAACTCGAAGTCAACAAATCGGCCGCGAGCAGCAGCCCGGACTGAACGAATACAGATGACTCTGTGAGCCTCCGGAAGCACCCCGGGTGGTACAGGGATTGGCATGATGTGTTACAACTTGTCAAAGGTCAGACGTATAGCCAAGTCAGTCCGATATACGTACGCAGAGGTGTTCTGTTTTGCTTGAGACGAAACAGAAACTGGAAGAACCTCTCTGTTGGTATACTCAGTTGTGTCGCCACGACAACGGAATATATGACGACACAAAGTGAAAGTAGGTTCACGTTACCTACTGCCAATTCTTTTTCACTCGCCACATCCGTATACGTTCCGTTTCGAACCCGAGTCACAGATATGGGACTATCTGTCTACAAGGAGGGGGGTAGTGTAACAACGCTCTACGAACAGTGACCCGATACCACTAGGATACGGTTCTAGCGACTCATGACCATGGCCCTTGTCGCATGGCATGAGCTCACACCGAACTGCCACCGAACCCTCATATATAAGGAGCAAGGGACTGTAGCATTGTAGAGTAGTTTTTCTGTATCCTTTCGTACAAGACCTATAGGTGTAGAGAATATATCCTGGTGTTCTTATCATCCCAGCACTCCCATATGCCTCGTAGCGGATTCACACCTATTCCGGATATCTCTCTTCTTGCCTGCGTCGTTACATATGCCTTGTAGCGGATTCACACCTATTCTGGATATCTCTCTTCTTGCCTGCGTCGTTACAATTAGAGACCTACCAATAAGGTATATCTAACGCTCTAGCAGCGCTGCAGATACTGCAAAATTAGCTAGCATAGAAGGCCTAGATAGTAAGGATAACTCTACCTTCTCTAGTAGTATTCTAAAGTTGTTATTATTAAGGCATGTTATGTTAGGAAAAAAGGTGGTTATGCTAAGAGAAAGTGGCTAGTTTGGTGATATGGCTAGCTTGGTGATAATCTACGTTATTTAATAATCTTAGAACGTAGTAGGTTGAAATAGTATAAGTACTTTTTACTATTATAAGCGTTGTGACGTAAGATGTCTATAGCAGAGCTCTATTCGTATGTGAGCTTCTTAGGGTGATAGTTGTAACAGAGTAGGCGCCCTGCCCTCAAAATCAATACTACGTGACTTCTCTGCCTATACCAAAAGGTAAGCACAAGAATACTTAAGCAAGTATTCGTTGCGTAGTATAATATATATAGACAATAATAGCGCTAGCCAGCTAGCTTTGCCTCTAGCTGCTATGAGCGCTATGCCACGTGTCGTGTTCGTGCATAGTCGTTACAATAGTGCAGGAACCTAGTAACCTAGCTATCCCTAACGTACTCTTAGGCTATTATAGACGCGAAATTTTGCACTATTTGCCTTGTAGGTGGTAGCCCTTGCTTAGTAAGCCCTTCTGTACAGCTACAAAGCTCATACTCTTGTTGTGGGCTGAGCTTTTAACGCGTGGAGTTCCCATCTTCACGCGACGCGCATACGCCTTAGTGCTGCTGCGACAGGGTGGATCGCGACACTAAGCTTTAGTAAGCAATTTTTGTGTATGAAAGTTCATCAGCTGCATCTGCTGCGTCACAGGCTTCAAGGGCAGCTTCTAAATCCATGCCGTTGTGAAGTTATGGTGTTGAGGATAATGGTGTGTTATGGCGTTCGCGTGCACGGTCCCTGTACGATTCGAAACCGTAAGATTTCCGTTGTCCTGTTGTCGAGAAAGTAGTCCGTGTTTCGGGTATAAATACATACCTATTACGACCTTACGGAGATTCAAGTTGAGAACCTGCAAAATCCCCTTGCTTTACACACTTTGCACAAAGCCGCTAATGAGTGTACCGCTCGTCTATTCTCGACTGATCTGCTTGTGAGGTCTGGGAGCCAAGAGGTATATGCAAGCAACCTATAACCAAGTGGGCTCTTGACAGTAGCAGTTCTGTGTGACTTCGTTTGGTGCAGTGGTGGATACTGTAAGCCGGCAAAGAAGTCAATTTCGCTCAACTTTTGTCTCAAGCCTGACCCGCATGCTACTGGACGGCGGCTGCATGCAATCCGAATACGAGTCTATGAACGGCGCTCGCTTGCTCGCTTGCGCTGCTATGATAATACAAAAGGGAAAGTTGCCTGATGAGGCTGGCTTGGGTGCGATCCAACTCTTGCCGCTGCTGGTTGGACATGGCCGTCGTCTACTTCATCTTGCCCTTTTCACGCTTTTCTTTGAGATATCTCCAAGCACGCTGTGGGCCTGCTGTGAGCGGGCCCTTCATGCTCTGTACAGTGGATGGCCATTTGACGGTTTGGTTGACTGCTTTGGTGACCATCTGAGGGAGATCTGTCTCGGCTGCGATGCGTTTGTCGAAGTCGCTGCCTACTTGCTTCTTTACGCCGCCCTTTGCATCTTCATCCCTGCTGGCCTCTAGCATCTCTTTGTATTCGCTGCCGGAAATGCCGAATTTGCCGCGGTACAGGAAGTAGATCTTCTCGCGGAACTTCTTAGGCAAGCGCCGCACCATGTTTGCGCGTCGCTCAGGATTCATGTCCTGCGAAAGCTTCAGGTCCAACTTGGTGTCATCCACCCAGTCAGGTTTGCTGACAGCAGCGAAGTCTGCGTACATGATGTTTGGCAATGAAACGATCAGATCGTGATACAGTAGCCTGAAGTTGCGAATCTGGTGAGTGACGATGTTGTCGATCTTCTTTGGGTTCTCGCTACCATACTGCATGCGCGGGTCGCCCTGGTAGCTCAGCCCGGTTATTGTAGAGTATAGCTGCTTCTCGGTGAAGGTTGGAGGAAGTAGTAGGAGGGCGCATCGGACGGCAGAGAGTAAGTTGCGCTGATTCGCGAGACGAATATTCGGTTCCTCGTGGAGGATCTTGCATGGCTTGTGCAGGCGACCGGCGAGATACAGCGTGTCCCAGTCTGTGAGATCGCGCAGAAGGGTCTCGAAGTTGACTACTCCGTACTTGATCATCGTGCCGTTGACTGTAATATACGGGTTGAAGTATACGCCAGCGCCATACCGATCCTGCACATGGCTGACCACACCTGAGCCCAGCGACCCAAGGAAAGAGTAATGATCTCGGTGGTCGCGCAAATTAAGCCAGTGGAAGTGCTGGGCGTATTTTGGGGTCAGGATGAAGTCGATCATCTTTCCACCGCCTTTTTGCCATTTCAATATCGCCTCGGGGGGGTTCGGATGCGGCGATTCGGTTGTGAGCGATGCTGTCGAAGCTGACTGAGGGAAGACGCCGGAGCCGTACGCAAACGCATATGTGACAGGCGGGAACTGGCGCAGTATCCCTCTCAGCGACCTCTTGAATTCTTCATTTGTCTGAATCAACTGGTTCTTTCCAAAGTCTTTATGCGGCAGCTCCGAGAAGTCGGACAGCGTGGGCTCCTGATCCTCCCATCCCGGAGGGAGTGACTGGGCCTCGGGGCGCGGATTGCTCGACTGCACCTCCTGTGTTGCAATGAATCGGCGACCAGGCAGCAGCAGGGGCTTCCTGCACCACGCTGTCCGTACAAATGGGCGGAATTGATACATTGGTGTCGTTGAGTCGATGTCTGAAGCTGCTCGAAACGGACTCAGCAAGGGGTGACGTAAGCAAGCTAAAAAGATCGGGGCGTGTTTGGCTGGTGTTTACCTCGCGCCTGCGATCCCAACAACCGCGACTCCCCCATCACTCTGCTCCCAGTACCCACCATAATCGAGCTCGAGCATTGCGAATTCTGACGCGACTCTATTCTTTTCGATTTTGCACTTTTCCACACTCCAGACTCGATTCCGATTCCGACCTCCCGGCGCCAGCTTTCAGGAGCCATGGCAGCCTCTCTCGCGTCCCTGCAGGCGCGTATCGACACGTTCACAGCCCCGGCTTCCAAATCCAGGCGCACGTCTTCGAAGACAAAGAAAGCGCCCTCCAAGTCGAAGATCGCCTGGCCATTGACACTCCCATCGGCACACGACCTGGCCTTCGCAGGATTCGTGTGGAAGCCTACAACAGCGAGTCCAGACAACGTCCAGTGTTTTGCATGTCACTGCCAGCTGGATGGCTGGGAAGAGAACGATGTCCCCGCATATGAGCACCTCACACACTCTCCAAACTGCGGCTTCGCAGTCGTCACATGCATCCGTCTGCGCAGCGGAGACCCGGGCAGGAGCGAAGATGATCCCACCTCAGACGCGATGATGCAGGCGCGCCGCGACACGTTCGAGCACGGCTGGCCCCTTGATAGCAACGAGGGGTACCCTAGCGTCGAGCAGGTATGCATACACCCAACGACATGTGCAAGCGCATTACTGATAAGTATGGTAGCTAGTAGAAGCTGGCTGGTACTACGACCCAACTCTGGAAACACCTGATGGCGCTACTTGCGCGTACTGCTCCCTGTCTCTGGACGCGTGGGATACCGGCGACGATCCAATGGAGGAACACCGACGACGTGCGCCTGACTGTCTGTTCTTCGCACTCAAGGAGCTCTACCACCCAGCGCCAAAAGCTGCTGCTAAGAAGGGCAAACGCGCCTCTGCACGCACATCGACCGCCAGCATAGCTTCGAAGAACACCCGCGGCAAAAAGCGCGCCAGCGAGCAGATTGACGATTCGATCTCCAGCATAATCGAGAAGCCATCCCGTGGTAAGAAGCGTATCAGCGAGGCAACTGACCTTACTATCGAGGACGTCAAGCCGAAGGCTACACATGGACGCAAGCGTGCAAGCACGCAGATCGATGACACAGTCTCCAGCGTAGTAGAGAAACCCACACGTGGTGGCCGGAAGCGCGCAAGCACTACAATCAATAATACGATCGATCCTGTTATGGAAAAGCCAACACGCGGCAGGAAGAAGGCCGCCGAGAAAGTCGGCACAACTCCAGACGATGTCGATAACGAGCCATCACCTGAGCCCGAACTCATACCTGCACCTGCACCTGTACCAAAGACTAAAGCCAAGAAGGCTGCACCCAAAGCTAAGCGCGCCTCGACCGCAAGCACCACCACAAAGACGACATGCGGCAAGAAGCGCACAAGCGACCAGATCGAAGACACTGAAGTTGCTGAGACTTCGCCGAAGCGCGTCAGACACAGCAGCGTCTCGAGCTTCCCCGATTCTCTACTCGTCGGTACACCTAAGAAGACACCCACAGAGCTGGCAGAACCTGAAGACGATGACTCTGCGCAAGCAGAACCCGAGCTGGAGGACATGGAAGACGACATCTCGAGTTTACCCGCGTCCCTCCTTGTCGGAACTCCTAAGAAGACACCGACGAGGATGATGACTCCCGGTGCCGAAGTAGTTGAGCAGGATCAGAAGTGGGATCCCATCGACGTCGAGGCGTTCTTCGGCAGCACCGAAGAACTACACGCTCTCATGAACGATATTGTCATTGACGCTGGTCTCGACGCTATAGTGCCGACCGGGGTTACTGCCGAGGACCTTCAAGCTGCTGTATTTGCCGGTCTTACCAAGTCTGAGAAGGACATGACAGTGGAGCAATGGGTACTTTACAATGCCAAGAGGGGCGAGGAGAAGCTGCGGCAGGCATGCGAGAAGCAGATTTTGGCCTTCGGGGCGCAGGCAATGCGCGCAAGAGCGACGATTGAAGGCATTCCGACCTACTAGATGGATACGAAGTATGACAGGCATTTGGAGGGAGTTTGGTAGTTGTTATGATACCCCGGAGGCATGCAATGGAGTTTTGGGGTTGGCTTTGGTACGCGTACATAGTTTAGTAGCGTCTCCGCTCCTCTTCGCGGCTTGAGTTGATCGTAGTTGCAGCCGCCTGCAAGGGCTGGCTCCTGGGTGATGCAACATAGCCAGTTGAGGGGTGCTTTGAAGCAAACGCAATAAATTCATTACAAAGTACCCTCAGCCTGCTCTTTGTGTTCATGACAGCGTTGAGATTTCCCTACGTTATACTTTACTAGATCTCTCATAGTATCGGCTGCTCATAAATGTATTGATGAAGCCGCTCTTGTCAACCTAGAACCGCTGAAACTACGCTGGACGTTGTGTAGGATGATGGAATGACAGTCGAATCAGTTGATGTGTTCAAGCGACCTACTCGACAAACCCCCGTATCCTGCTTAAGTTCTCCAGGAACCCACCTCGCCCCTGCCCCCTCACAGGCGGTGGCTGTGGCTTAGTTGTACTCGCGCTCCTGCCGCTCCTCCCTTTGCTCCTCTCCCTCTCCTTCTCCACCTCCCTCTGCTTATCCTCCGCCACCTTGACCAAGCCCTCCACAAACTTCCCCCGCGCCTTCTCTTCCGCCGTCCCCTTCCACACCACCGCCAGATCGCGCAAGGCCTGGATCCTAGCCTGTGCCTTCGCAGGCCCCTGCTCTGGATCCCCGACTACCAGGTCGGCGATCTCGGAGCGTAGCGCGGAGGCGAATTCTTTCCCACGTTGCTCAAGCGAGGCGTTGTCGCTGCCGGGTTCTGGGGCGGAGACGCTGATCAGAGAGCTGCCGAGGGAGACGTCTGACGGCGGGATCGTCCAGTGCATAGCTTCGCCGAAGACTTTGATGACGGTCTCGAGGCGCGAGCGTACAGTTGTCAGGGTGCGGAGGGAGGTGATGTATTCGGGAGTTGTGTCGGCGGGCGGTGGTTGTGTGGTGCCTTGCGATGATTCTGCAGCAGTATCGTCCTGGATTGGTGCGTCTGAGGGTCTTCTGCTTGCTGTCTCTTGTGGCTCCGTTTCCAGTGCAAGACCACCCGGCAGGAACTTCGCGATCTCCTCCTTCAGCCCATCTCTGAGTATGTCGGTGAGCCCAATCGTCTCTCCACGCAGTACTTCGACTTCATATGCTAATCGACCTCCGCTGCGCAGTATGTCGTCGGTCAGCTGCGTGAGGATTGCTGACAGCCGTGTGGTTTGCGCATTGAGCTGCGATAGGAGGTCTTGTGTTTGCGAGGAGAGGTCTGCGAGCGAGGCCGAGGTGCTTTTGACCGGCCGCCCGCTCAGCGAGAGCGAGGGAAGGGTCGCATTGAGGTAGTCGGCAGGGTCGAAGGTCGACTGGAGGAATGGTGCAAGAGCCGGGTCGGAGACGTGGCTGGACTTGGGCGCCGTGCTGTCTTCTGCAGTGGCCATGGCTGGGACGGGGCGGAGATATGACGGGCGTCCTGGTAGCGTTCCTGGATGAGGCCCCAGCCTCCAGCGAGAAGCGAGCCAGACGCCCGGAAGCCTGGCCGCAGCCGCGCCTGAGAAAGTGGGGGAGGGGCATCAGCTAGACGCGAGCCGGGCTGGCGCGAGTCATGCCTGCAGCTCGACGCGTCTGCGTGTTTGTTCGCGGATGCTGGTACACAATCCTTGCGTCCTCGCATCCTCGCATCCTCAATTTTCACCGTGATGGCATCTGTCATCTCTGCGCAGATTGACGATTGACGATGAGGGTCTGCCCCTGAGAAGAAACGCAGGTACGGGGGCTGCTTGACCGCTAGCTTGCCTAGCAGTGCGGGCGGTTCTGCTGCCTGGACATTCAGTCACTTCATTATTTGAGCCTGGAGCCACTCCCACTCGTCAGAGGCAGAGTCGCACAGGAGCAACTGTCATGCCAAGCGCGAGCCCGTGAGCCCGTGGAGCCTCTCGGGCAGCTTCCTTGTACTCTTATCCTTCACTATTCGACTTCACTGGCGCTTTCGCCGCCCATTGCTCGCCGGCTGCGCGACGAGCTTGACTATTCACCGCAGCAATTATTGCTTTCTTCACTCACGCAAACACAAACATTGACGTCACCCCACTTCGTTCCTACGGTTGGCTGTGCCCCATCTGGGACCCTGTCCGTCCTCGAACTTTTCCTCCAGCACACTCGGTCCTCAACTCCACCCGATTTGAGCTACAATCAACCTTGTCTGCACCTGCCGCCGTGACGGACGCTGCAAAATAAGCCTCTGCATCGCAGCTTCGCCCGCTATGCCTCGCAGGCAGTTTGTGGCCGATCTGGCTGCCGCTGTCGAGGGCGTTTCTATTGCAGGCATCTCGGATGTGCAGCCTGGCGGCGACGATGGCGAATTCACCTTCGTATGCATCGCTGACGGCAATGCTCTCATGATCTCTGCACTAGTACCTGGTAAGTACCACGCATGTCAACCAAGTCCGGCTCGAGTGTGACACTGTTTTGGCACATTCAGCCTGCTAACAGAACTGCAGAGTTATCTGACTACCCCTCAAGTCACGACTGCATGATCTTCGGGCCTGATGATGCGTCCTCTAGTGTTGCCAGTACTTTGTCTGATATCTCGGCGACTGGCAAGACGGTGCAGCAGATCCTCGAACTCGTATCGCGGAAACTAGAATCGACTGACAGAGATGGCGACTACCAAATGCTCAATTCTCAAGATCTCGAAGGCTTGGGAGATGGCACTGAGGATGAGGATGAGGATGAGGATGATTACGGCGAAGATTATTTCCCCGGAGACGAGGACATGCTCCCTAAGCACTACAGCAACGGCCATCACACACCGATCGTAGGGACATTCACAGAGCCCACAGCTGCCTTTCGACAACGCATCCAGCGCGATTTGCTGGCAGCTAAGAGTAACGGCTTCAAAGTTGGCCATCTGGGCGGTCTCATGGACGGGCTCGGTTGCTATGTCAGCATCTCTATCCGCATCGCGAAGCTGGGTATCTCCGAGGAAGCCATGCAGGCCTGGCAGATCGAGCCCAATGAATATCTCGTCACGTTGTTCCACTATCCACACGGTTATAAAACCATGGACGACTTACGATCGTACGACAACAGCCAAGCCCAGCGCAATTTCAGCATCCGCATTGGTATCTCCAAGTCCTACAAGCCCACTCTACAGGAAGCCGTCCAAGCATTCACTGTCCTTAGCAGGCAGGAAGAGAAGGAGCAGGAAGAGTCGCAGCAGACCGAGTCGCAGCAGGAAGCAGCAGTCCACCAAGGCTTCCGTCTGTCGTTCATATCCAAACCACTGCACCATCTCAGCGATGAACGTTTCCACCTGGTTTTAAAGTACCGGTATGCTGGCATGGATTGGAATGGAGCTGAACTGTTCTACTACGACCAAATCCTTCAGCCAGCAAGCAAGCATCAACAAGGCTCGGACGATAAGTACTATGTTCCCGAAGTCGTCACCACTGTGTACCCTCCGGTCGTCACGGCCGATCACATCCAGCAGTCGACCTGTCAAGAGCACTCGCTACCTGTTGTTGGCATACAGTGGGTGCTCAGGCATTTTGTACGCTGCACAGAGTTCTGTCTTATATGCCTCAGCAAGATGCCTGATGATCTTCAGGCTATCAAGCCATACGTCTGCGATAATCCGCTGTGTCTCTACCAGTACATGTCACTCGGATTTGGACCAAGTATCGAGCACGAGGTCCTCTCTCAACCGAAGGTAGTCGATCTGCTAATCAGCTTTTGCTACTCGAGTGCACGTCAGTCCAGACTGAAGGTCTTCCCTGCCGGTCTCTCATTAGAGGTTCCGCCTTCTTCGGCATATGAGGAAGATTACTCTCTCCGTCAGTACCAAGGATTGGGCTGGCAGCCGCAACCAGATGCTCAGTCGTCCAGGGCCACGGGCACTGATAGTGAGCAAATTCCTATTGCGATTAAGCTTAACCTCGATACACGCGAGATCTTGTTTAACGACAAATCCAAATCGTGCCCTCTTCGAGCGAATGAGTGGATTACCTTCCGGTTTGATGGTGAGGCGAGCAGATCATTCCATTGCCGGGTACTTGAGACTACTTACTACCCGACGGTAAAGATCTCTGAGCCTATAGAGCCAGCTGTCGCTTCACTCGGTACATCGTCGAATGCTTATGGATACGCACCAGCCGCACCCCAAGCTGCACCTCCAAAGCTGACTTCCAAGATTGCTCGCAACACAAACGAATTCCGTCCTGCGAAGTTTCAAGCCTACAACCAGAACTTTGACGCGCTGTCGGAGCAGAACAAGCGGCAAGTCATTTGTCTTCTCCTCGACATGCTGCCTTCTGTGGAAAGCTTGAAGCGGTACCTGCTCCGCAAAACCAACAACGCCCTGAGTGGGTGGACAGACCGACTTTCTCCCGCGGCTCTTGGGCTACTCCGCTGGATCATCGCATCGAATCGAGCATGCATCCTTCAAGTAGATGCCGAGCGTGACACTCCCACTGGGCGAAAAGCCGACGATCGACTGTACGGAATGTCAAATTGGACTCAGTTCCGGTTTGCGATGGGCGCGCCGGACAAGGAGCGACGGTTCATTCAAGCCGTAAGAAGCACCACCGAGAGACTTAATCTCAAGTTTCCAACTCTCTTTGCGTGGCACGGCAGCCCGTTGCACAATTGGCACGGCATCATTCGCGAAGGATTGCACTTCAACGAGACGCACCATGGTCGCGCCTTCGGGCATGGTGTGTATCACTCCTTGGAGGTTAACACTAGCATCGGCTACTCGGGCTACGGAGGAGTTGGCTACACCTGGCCGAACAGCGAGCTCAACATTCAGCAAGCTCTTGCACTAAACGAGATTACCAATGCCCCGCAAGAGTTTGTCAGCAAAACCCCTCATCTTGTGGTTGCTCAGCTTGACTGGATCCAAACCCGCTACTTGTTTGTCAGTCATGCGGCATACAATCAAGCGAACAGCCCGGCGGACAAGGGATCAAAGCCCCTGGAGATCTTGGAGCAAGACCCATCCATGACGCCAACAGGTAGTGACGGCAAGCTGATCATTCCTATGCGTGCGGTCGCCGGCTCCAGGAGACCAAAGTCGCTGAAGACCATGGTGAGTGGAATCGAGCATACTACTTCGTTACCTTTGCTGAGCGATATTCAGCAAAATAAGCGACAGAAGGCGCAAGGAACAAGCAAGTACGACGCTATCGAGATTCACGACGACGATACCGCTAGTGTTGCAACGCTGGACGAAGATCGTGTCATTTTCGAAGATGCATTGTCAAAGAACGAGCAATACGTCGATCCCCTACCGACACCAAACTCCACCAAAGACGGCAAAGGCAAGGCAAAATTAAGTGGCTTCTTTAACAAGATGAAGCCGCAGAAGCCCCTTACAGACTACGTTCCCGGGACGCTGGACTACAGTACTTTACCCATGCTTCAGCAACCGTCATGGGCATCGAGTGCTGCAACTAGGTGCCTCATGCGAGACTTCAAAGCTCTCATCAAGACACAGAACGAGCAGCCACCGCATGAGCTCGGCTGGCATATCGATGAGGACAAGATTGAAAACCTGTATCAGTGGATTGTTGAGCTGCACTCGTTCGATCCGACTCTGCCACTCGCACAGGATATGAAGAAGCACGATGTGAAGAGCGTTGTCCTGGAACTACGCTTCGGCAAGGATTATCCTATGGCACCACCCTTTGTCAGGGTCATTCGCCCGCGTTTCTTGAGCTTTGCTGCTGGAGGAGGTGGTCACGTCACTGCAGGTGGTGCCATGTGCATGCAGCTTCTGACTAACGACGGCTGGAGTGCGGCCTCTTCGATCGAGTCTGTCTTGGTACAAGTTCGTATGGCTATCATGAGCACCGATCCCAAGCCTGCCCGCCTGGAGCGCGGTGGACGGCACGATTATGGAGTTGGTGAAGCGGTCGAGGCATACATTCGCGCATGCGCCATGCATGGATGGACAGTGCCTGCCGATTTCAAGGAGACTGCTTATGGAGGTACAGAAGGATCAGGATACTTTGGCTAGACGCCAGAGGATACGTCGACGGCTGATTGGGGAGAGGCTCAGGTGGCGTTCCAAACGGAAGGCGATGCATTAACGCGACTTCAGAAACGCAAGGCTGCGCATTGATTGGCGACATAGCACGGCGTTTGGGATACATTCATGGCGGGCATTTTGCAACGGCGCAAGAGGAGCTGCAAAGATACCTCACATAGAGACCATGGAGCACAAGACCACATGCATGGTCATGGCGTCACGAATCAACACAATCATTACATATAGTGGTCGCTTATTCTTTTTTTACATTGGTCAGGCTGACTCAAAGATGGGGTACCTTCAAACTCGCCAGCAGCAGGTTTACAATGCTGCACAGCCCTTCTCCCAGAATCAAGCCACTGGCAAGTATGATGATGGGCGTCTCGCTTTTGCCCTTCCACCTCCGCCACCACAAACTGACGAGACCACCAACTGTGCGCGCCAACGTGAATGAAGGTGTGTTGTACATGCCTACAACAATGTTAGTGAAATTTTAAGGCCATGAAGTACAGAACATACCAACAGCGACCGCAATGCCACCAGGCACAAAGTCGATCCACCATCCGCTCAACCCCCTCTGCTTCCTGTTCGTACCCCAGACCCTTATCATCGTTCCCACCGCAAAGATCACCGCAGCGCCACTGGCCCATTCTCCTACCATAGGTGGCAGTCCCGTCCCTGTAACTAGTCTTGCAGTGAACACCCACACATACCCGGTCGGGACCCCGAAAAGCCCCCCAGGAATAGTGTAGACGTTGGTGTATAGCTTGTAAACTACAGCCGACAGCACTGCACCAACCGCACTGCCAATCATCTGGCCCCAAAATTGCGCATTCGGCGCCGCGCCAATCAAATGTCCGCACTTCAAATCCTGCAGCAAGTCGCCTGCCTGCAGCGCCGCGCTCTCGCTCACAGCGCCTGCCACGAGATTGATGATGACGGCGTTCTTTGCGCCGGGGCCAGTTGTCGGCGTCACGAGGGCGAAGACCAGTTGGGTTAGCTTGGAGATGCCGGATACGGGGTTCAGGTCTGTTTCACCCAGCGCTCGAACACCCATTATGCTTAGTAGAAGGGCGAGGACGAGCGAGAGGAGCGTGAGCCGGAAGGGGATCAGTCCAGGGAAGGTGACGTGGACTGCGACGGCGCAGAGAACCAGCGAGCTTACGAGTCCGATGAGCGTTGTACGTGTTGAGATGAGTTGTTCGGGGGGTGCGTCAGGCTCGCTGGAGTCATTTAGGTGTTGCTTGACGGCGGCGATGGGATTTGTGCTTGTGCCGTCCGAGAGGACGGCGTATCTCTGACGCCGAGAGATGTTAAACGTGAGGAGTTCGCGCCAGGTGTGCGAGCGGAACGTCTCCTTTGCCGTGGGGAAGTAGCTGCGCGCGAGTGCAATCAGAGGACGCAATACGAGCCAGCCGAGACTAACGAGCGAGTCTGCCAGCATGATGGCGAGCGAGACCCATACTATCCAGCCCTTAGAGCCATTCGTCCAATCTGAGACAGGACCCGGTGCCCAGCCTTTATGCTTTGCAAGCGGCGAGAGGATACCCCAGCCAATGATCGCACCGAGAAGCATGTGCAGTGTCGTTGCGGGGCCCATGATGATGCCTTGGCCGACATAGGCAGGCGATGGGTTGAGGGTCCAAAGCCAATTTGTGGCGAGCGGAAGCCCGAAGATGGGGATGTTGTGGAGCTGAGGGATAAAGTATGACGAGACGGTGTAGAGGGCGGAGCCCGCAAAGGCAATGATGAGGAGTCGAATCCTTGCCTTCCAATCTGCGTCGTTGTCATCATCATGCTCTTCGCCTCGCGTTTCGACTGGCCCGTCCTGCAACAAGCCTCGCGTTTCATCCTCAGCCCCAGTCCTATCGTTATCTGTATGTGCTGTGCTAGGCTTGGGGTCTTTCTCGCCGTGCAGCACCTTGATCAACAGCGCTGTAGCGGTTCCGCTTGGGAACTTCAACTTCTCTCTGATGATCATCTCTCGGCGCAAAGGCACAGCAAATACCACACCAAAGAAGCAGATGCCCACTGACCAGACAATCAGCTTCCCCAGACTAATTTCGAGCGGACCACCCTCTTCCGGCTTTAGCAGAAAGTTCAATGCCGGGATGACACCAACAAATCCACATCCAAGCGGCATCGTGCCAACGGAACCTGCAACTGATTGTACCAACACATTCTCTACCGGCGTGAAGGGGAGCTTCAACGTGCGGGAAACGACCTTGAAGTACGCGAATCCAATCAATGCGGAGGGCATAGCCATGCCAGACACCCAACCCGTCTGCAGACCGAAATACATGTTGGAGAAACAAATCACAACACCAATGGCCAAACCGACGAGCACGCCTCTCAGCGTGAAGTTCTGCGGCTGGCTCGCCTGCTCGGCCAGATAGTCGCGATCTCCAGCAGGAATGGGCGCACTGTCCCCTGCATCCTCAGCTCTTTCATAGTCGTCGGTGGATGGGCGCGGTGAAGATCCTCGGTCTGGGGCCATGGTTGGGAGATCCTGAAGGGGGACTGCGACGGACAGGTTGGAGTTTGAACGCGGGTACACGTTCAATCAAGCATCTAAAGGAGATCAGGATGATGTTGCGTGCTCAGATAAATGCAGAAAGGAGCGGCTGCCAATAATGCAATTAGTAACATTCTCCTCACGTGATGCGGTCCAGCGGGTCCCCCGGCTTATGTCCGACTTGTCCGTGCTCACCAACGCTCAACGTGCATCGCGGGCTGCCGTTCAGGGACGTTGTGCAGCGCGCCTTCTCGTTCTTGACGCTTCCTGTTACAGGACATACAGGCCTCTTCACTTTTTCGTAACACATGATGAAGCTCTCCAGCGCCCTCCTCCCGCTTCTGGCGGCGCCCTTTGTCACCGCAGAGCACACCTCCAACTGGGCCGTCCTCGTAGGCACGTCACGCTTCTGGTTCAACTACCGCCACCTTGCCAATGTCCTCTCGCTCTACCGTACGGTCAAACGCCTGGGCATTCCGGATTCTCAGATCATCCTCATGCTACCGGACGACATGGCCTGCAACCCGCGCAATGCCTTCCCCGGAGCTGTCTTCAACAACGCCGACCGGGCCCTTGACTTGTATGGAGATAACATCGAGGTGGACTACAGAGGGTACGAAGTCACAGTGGAGAACTTCATTCGGCTCATGACAGACCGTTGGGGCGAAGACACGCCCCGCAGCAAGAGGTTGATGACAGACGAGCGGAGCAACATCTTGGTCTACATGACAGGGCATGGCGGCAACGAGTTTTTGAAATTCCAAGACGCGGAGGAGATCAGTGCCTTCGACCTGGCAGACGCGTTTGGCCAGATGTGGGAGAAGAAACGGTGTGTGACCCTCCACGTACCACATTATACGTGTCTTCCTAACGTGTTACAGCTACCACGAGATGCTTTTCATGATTGACACCTGCCAAGCAAATACCATGTACTCGAAATTCTACTCCCCCAACATCCTCGCAACCGGGTCCTCGGAGATCGACCAATCTTCCTACTCGCACCACGCCGACCAAGACGTTGGCGTCGCCGTCATCGACCGCTACACATACTACAACCTCGAGTTCCTCGAGACACAAGTCCGCGACCCTACATCGAAGCTCACAATGGGCGACCTGTTCGACAGCTATGACGAAGAGAAGATCCACTCGCACCCTGGGATACGATATGATTTGTTTGAGGGCGGCGAGCAAGCGGCAAGGAACAGACTGGTTATGGATTTCTTTGGCAACGTGCAGAACGTCGAGGTGGAAGGCGAGAAGAGGAATGAGACTCAGTGGAGGCAGGATTTGGAAGCTATTGAAAGGATGATAAACGAGGCGAAGAGGAGGCACAACGAGAGCTTGAGCATACAACCGCAGGCGCAGCATATTGTCGAAGAATCAAAACCAGTTCAGAGCTCGAAGAGGCAGGGCGCGGCGATGGTGCAGGAAGAGCAGGGCTGGTCGAAGCAGATTGTGGGTGCTGCGGCCTTGGTTGGCTGCGCTGTAGCGTGGGCTGCGGGCAGCTGGCTGGAGTCGTGAAGAGTTGGACTTGGAGCGTGACTGTGTCGATATCTGTTCTATACCCCAAAGCATTGTTCGTTCACCACCTCATGCTCAAGCGGACAGTCTAGTCTGTGGAGTCACCGTCAACAGTGCACCCCATGTCCGTACCAAGTATATGACCGTAAGTTACCTGATACACATCACCCCGAGATCCCAGATATCAGGTGTCCTCACAGGCAGCAGAACAGTCAGCTCTGAGATACGTCCCTCTGACAACACTGGCGTCTGCAATTTTCCTACAGGATGACCAGGCCTTTGAGGACCATTGCTGGAGCCGGCAGCCCTATGCGATGCGAGCCTCCCCGCCTCTTCATACCAGCAAGGTAGCTCCATTGATGTTCGAACTCCCAAATGGTGGTCTAAGAGTGTGCGACTCATGCCGGCCGTCGCTAAGCTATTCGCTTACTGGACTTGCAGACAGTCCCACATCAATTTCCAGGCAATCCATACTACACTACATCTTGACGAAGCCGTGAGCGAAGCTAAGCCCCAGGCCATTGGCGTACATTTCAGACAGTGTCATCTCGTATAATACCTAAGTTATATATTTCTAACATTGCACTGGTATCATCAAGTCACCGCATCGGTGGTTTAGTGGTAAAATTAGCCGTTGCCATCCTTCACAGGACAGTTTCGGCTAGCCCCGGGTTCGATTCCCGGCCGATGCAAGCTTTTTTGTCTTGGTTGGGTCCTGATGTGGGGATGGTTGTGGTGGAGCATCTCCCAGCAGGTTGAGCGCGAGTGGTTTGGGCCGTCCGACCGGCAATGTCATTTTGCACCAGGAGGAGCCCCAAGGCTGGGAGTGGCATTGTGCGTATACGGTCGATATATCTGTCAGGACGAGCCGTCGTGAAAGCGATAAAGCTACTAATCGTAAAGGAAAAATAACAGCATACGATAGTGGATGCCTCCTGGCTGTAGGGTCCTTGAGGACTGCCCAAGAAGAATCGAAAATTGAACTTCGTCCAAGTCGTTCACCGCAGCGAGTCATCTTCGAAGTCAACTGATACTGATACACCGGCTGCTCGTGCAATGGTAGCCACTTGCCAGACTATCGCCCAGCTGATAGCCAGGCTTGTTGAAACAAATCGCCATCCGTCGCATCGACAAGAAAGCTGCATTGAAGTCGTCGGACATGCGTGTTCGAATGTCTTGGGTTTCTGCACTATAGCTGTAATTGCTCCAGGCCGACGTTCTGGATGTGTCGACTCGTAGCAGTGTCCGTGGTGGAAGAGACGCTGGAACTGTCTGTACGCCAACATTAGCCTAGCTTAGCAGTTCTTTGTGTGGAATGGTTTGAATATGATATCCACAGGTGGTTAATCCTGGCGTGACTGTCTCCGTTGTGATTATGCGCTCGATTACTTCTTCGGGTACATATGGAACAACAGTCCAATTCGGATCTCGGCTCAAGGACTGAGACTGACTTGAGATTGCTCTAGGGCCTCGTATGGAGAAACTCGTGTCTGTCCTGGTGGCTGGCGCAACTTTTTACATGGCTTCAGGCTGGATTGATTGAGTCTCTGGTGGAGATACTGCAGCTATTGAATCCGAACTATCAGAGCTAGCGGGAGCCGGTCACGAGAAGCACGACAATGGCTTCTTGAGTTTACAGATTAACGGATGGTACTATTGAGGTTCTGCCCCCAGTGTTGAGTGTCACAGGCTTGAGAGCCTGGAAGCTGTCAGGTACGCAAGGCAAACATGGTTCAAATACAAGAACCGCAAGAGCTGATCTGCCCCTTCATAACTTACCACTGAGAAATACCCACGAGCACGGCCACGCGCCCTTACTGTTCAGAACAGCATCTTCAATACTAAACCACCCACTTCTCCACAATCGACATACTGCGCAGTGTCTTTCTTGTATGTTCATTAGGCCCGTAAGGCCAACCACCAGTACCGATTGTCTATAGAGAAATCAAGCGCCCATCCGGCTACATGTCCGACACAGGCAGTCAAGGCCAAGCTTCAGGTAGCCGCAATATCTCGAGCAACATCAAACCCGTATCGCCCTCGCTTGACGTCAACCGGGCGACTGTCAACACTAGCAAGGGATCCGTGGACGACAACGGTGGGCCCAAGGATGCAACCCCACTGCTTGAAACGAAATTGGACCTTGAGGCAGAGATCACCTAACAGCGCGAATTCGTAGAAGACAAAAGGATTGGCTTTTGCTGAGCGTGAGGGGCTTACCGCATGATTTCCTTTCTTCGTCTATTGAGCGAGTAGTCTAGAAGGCAAAGCCGCCATGTGAGCGGTGGTGTGCGGAAAGCAGGGACCAGACCATTTGGAGGACAAACTCGGCTTCTTGCACTTCGTGAAGAGCTAGTCTTACACCGAGGGACACGAAATCGAGGCACGTTGAAGCGTTGAACGGATCGACGATGACACAGTAACCGAGAGCTAGGGTTGCAATTAGCATTGATCAGCATCGCTGAGGCAGTGCGAAAGCAGTTAGGAAGGGAATTCAGACACTTGCCCTGTCACAGGCAGTTATCACCATTGCCGTAGCTCGGTAGACCGTCGTGATAAATAAAAGTTCATCTTGTAAAGGGGCGGGGAAAAAAAGTGGGCGTAACGTACCACAGGCGCGTGCCACAATCGTGCTTGATAGGCACATCTGCGCGGCCGGTTAGCCAGCGCTTCCATGATGAAGTTCAGAGATCGACGTTTTGATGGCGAATCAGACTTGACAGTCTCGTCTTTGCCGAAGCTTGGACATATGCTTGTCTTGTGTTTGCGTCGTATCATCATGTAGGAGTGGAGACTGCGCAGTGTAGAGCGTACCGAGAGATGCAAGTTGTGCACTGAAAAGAAGTTAGCAACAATCCTCATGCGTAGATGGAGCAAACAATGTTGGGAGGGTTGGATCAGAAAGGCATGAATGGATATTTGAAATGAAGTCGTCACCGGGCAAACCCGTCAGACTCGTCATCTATACGTCGCATCATCTCCAAGAAAGGCCGAGGTGGATTTACTTACATTGCAAGTTCAAACAATTGGGCGGCTGTTTTATGGTTCGGCAGGGTCTGGTGTAACGAAAGTCAGCCGAGCTCTTACCCGGCTTGATCGAGAGCGCATATCGGCAGAACGAGATCAGTCGGCGAGGTTTTCTAGGCCTGCCACAATAGAGCGTATCCTTCAAGAATTGTCGGTGCCCAGTGCAGATACATCATGTGGGAGTTTGAGTGCGATTGCGAAGGACTGTGCCGTACCAAGATGTCATCTGTGGTCTGCGACCCAGCTGTTAGCAAGAGGCCAATGTCGAACATGAAAAGATCGAGAGGGAAGTATCGAGATCAGAAACAGCCATTTTTTATCTGCATCGGTCGAAACCTGAGCCGGTAATTTCCAGCGTGCAAAGCACAAACTGATCATCATTGGATGTGTGGGATATGCGAGAAGGGACATACGTACTAGGTGTAATAGGTGGCGCCCTGGCTATGCAGTAGCTAGTGAGTTCACCCTGCTCGCGTCGTAGCATGTTCACTGCAAGATCTGTTGACTGTCAGAGACTGAGTTTACACAAACGACTGTGCGGTGTGTAGACAACTGTAGTCGCATTCAGACTGACGTGCAAAAGTGAGAGTTTCATTCCCCGAAAGGTCAAAGACTCTAGTTTGAATTTGGCTTTGTGTTTCATCCTGTAGACTGGGTTGAATTGGGAATATGCATACCTCAAGCATTTGGAAAGCGTTTGAATAAAACGCGCAAATGCACTCCATCATGCGCGGTGGGCGCCAATTTGCAACCCTGGCAATGTTGTTGCGTAGCCGAAGCACGACGCGGTGGTGTGTGGACGAGAACGGCTGGAATTCGAAAGTTTTTTAGAAGGTGCAGGTGGGTCCAACGGAGCGGCGCTCGTAGCTTCCGCGAAATAGCTGGCACGTGCACAGTGTCAGGTCACCCAGGAGGTCGAAGGGTACAGTATCAACACAAGATGCAATCGAAGTATTTGTAGAGATGCAGATGTGACTCCTTCAAGAGTACTCATCAACTAGTGCTGGCATAATTTGGAATCTGTGGCCGAGTTCCCAATCGGTCGTCAACTCAAGAGTGGGCGGAGCAATAATATTTGGGTGGCGTTGGACTTTGTCAACTTTCTTGCTATCTACACCTAATGTTCCTGCCATCTAAGACCTCTAGACACTCTCACGTCTGTCCTTACAAAAGTACACGCCAACGACGTCTGCATCGACCGTGAACGTAAAGTTGTCATTCGTGATCTCATTGCTAGGGCGTGCCAGCATACAGCCCCTTGTAGACCCAAGCTTTGATCAAACATCTCGCGCTGCTTGTGCTGTGAGCATATTGGAGACGACCCTTTTGCTCTATCTTGCTGTATCGCCGGTGAACCGCTGGTGAATCGGTCAATGTAACGACCGTATGATTGTTGCGTTCACGTCGATGCCTCGTTCAGGACGCGAAGATGCGGACATTTAGATCCACAGACCCGGTCGCAATCACGCATCTGATTCCTGCCTTGGCAGCGTCTTCCTCTTTCCTCTGGTTCGCAGCGCTCGATCCTGCACCCTTGGCGCTGTCGCCGTTGACCGGAACGTCTTTCACTACATTTGGTGCCCATCTCATGCAGCTGACAAAGTGGCTATGCGCGTCTGTTACCGTTTTTACACATTTACCCTCTTGTGCCAGATCCCAGCACCGTATTGTCTTGTCGTCACTGGCAGAGAGCAAGTATTTCCCGCCGGGATGAAAGACGAGTGATCGCACCCAATTGTCGTGTCCAGCTAGTGTTCTTATGAGAGTCCCTCGCCCGTCCCAGATTCTGACCGTTTTGTCTCTCGACCCTGTTGCGATGTATTCTGCCGAGCTGCTACCAGGTGGTGGTTTCTTTAGTCCGGCCAGCGCAGCCAAATGAGTGTACGCGATTGGTGGTGCGATTGCAACGCATTCGACTACATGCTCGTGACCGAGGAAAGTGCATTTGGCCTCTCCAGAGTTGGCATCCCACAGGCGTGCTGTTTGGTCGTTACCAGCTGACACGAGCCACCGTCCATCGAAGCTCGGCGCTACATCTCGCACCCAGTCGGCATGTCCTCGTATTGTCTTGACGCAGTAACCCGTGGTCACATCCCACACACGCAGTGTCTTGTCTCGAGACGCTGAGACAAGTAGGTTGCCTGATGAAGGAGAGCCCGCCGCACCGCTGGGAACGAATCGAACTGCGGAGACAGAATGGTCGTGGCCAGGCAGCGTCCGTATATTCTTGTACTCGTCTGAAGGGTCCCACAGCTTAATTGTCAGATCGCTTGAGCACGACGCAAGAAGTGTGCCACCTCGGGGCCCCCCAAAATCAACGTCCAGTACGCCTTTGGTATGCCCTTTGACTGTTCTTTCGAGTTCACCAAGCTCCCAATCCCAGATCTTGATAGTAGTGTCTTCGGAACCGGAGGCCAGCGAGGAGAATATGGGATGGAATGCGACGCAGGTAATAGGCGAGCGATGTGACTGGAGGGTATGCCGCGCAGGTGCTCGTGGTAGCCAGGCGGCGGGATCCTGATTCTTCCGCAGGAGGGATGTCGGCGTGGTTGAGTCCAATTCACTCTGGAGACTCTGATTGCGCTGTTCGAGTTCAAGTACCTGTCCAAATCAGCGCTGCATCCTCCTGCTTCCTTCGGGAGCATCTACCTTTTTCTGTAGACGCACTACGCTCGTCCACTTCTTCTCCAAGAGGCCCTCGTACTTTTTGCGTGTCGCGTCGTCGAAGGCATCTGGAACGCTGGCTTCCTCTCGAAAGGCAGCTGCTGTGTTTGGCGCATTGATCACACCGAGGTATGCGATGATGGCCTTGTGCCTGCCCTCACTATTAGTGGGACGTCTGGTGGGATGTGCACCGCAACACTCACAGCTCCTCCGCTTGCCGGTCTGTCAGGATAGCGCTCATGGCGGGGATGACCGGACGACCACCATACACGGGAGGTGATCAGGATGTGCGCTGGCAGGGCGGCGATGTGGGTTTCTTTTGTGGTCTGGCGGGGATTTGCGGTGAGTGTCTGCGCAGAGACAGTCGGCGGGGTGTCTCGCGGTGCGCACCGGGTGGGAGACAGGCAGCGGTAAGGCGCGGGGGAGCAACTGCAGTAATCGCAAATTGAGCGCAAACTGAGCGCAAGGAGTCCGGATTGGACTTGGTGTGTGTTCTCGTGGGCCCCCAGTATTCACTGGGACATGGATGGGGCGGGCAGCTGTACTGAGTATGTACTTCGTGCGGCGATGATGATGCCGCAGCAGCAGCGCGAAAGTTACCGTAGCGACAGCGCCCGCGAACACAAAACAACCCTCCATTTGCAGCCCAACCAGCACGACGGCACTACCCAGTACCCACAGAACACTGCGCCCGCCAGGCCCTATCTCGACTGCGACATCGTTCTTACGACGCGCAGAACGAGTGCGCCACAGCCACAGTATGTCATACCCCTCTGCTCTCCTTGCATATCTGCAGCGGCTCCTGGATGCATTGCGCGCTATGCAACTCGAGGCTGCTCGCGCATCATTGCCAGCGTAGTTTCCACGGGCGCTAGACGTCCCTGCAGACGACCCACCCAAACATAGGTGACTGACAGCCAGACAGGACGTTTATCTGCACGCACACTCACCCCCGCACCAAACACCACACACAACACGCCATGGCCGATAAAGAAGAGGACTTTAGTGCCCTCCCCCTCCCAGATCGCTTCACACACAAGAACTGGAAGGTTCGGAAGGAAGCATACGAGGCAGCTACCAAAGAGTTCAAGATCGCTGCGAGTGAGAACGAGCCTATAGTGCGCCAGTTCATCAACGATGCAAGCATATGGAAAGGCGTCGTGGGCGACTCCAACGTCGCGGCACAACAAGAAGGCCTCGGCGCACTATGCGCCTTCCTCGAAATATCTGGCCAGCAGGGCTGTACACGGTAGGAATAGTTGGTATATCTGATGCCTGTGCTTCGCTGACGACTGCTGCAGAACGCGACAAGTCACAATTGCTACCATCGCCGAAAAGGGTCTCCCATCAACCCGTGCCGCAGCGAAGCAAGCTGCGCTCGAAGCGCTGATGCTCTATATCGAGACTGATAAGCCCGAGCCGGTCATCGAGGAGCTTCTTCCCGTTCTTTCGCATAAAGTCCCCAAAACCATCGCTGCGACACTAGACGCCCTGACCCAACTTTACCACGCCTACGGCTGCAAGACGATCGAGCCCAAGTCCGTCCTCAAGATTTTACCCAAGGTCTACGGCCACGCAGATAAAAACGTCCGAGCGAAGGCACAGGAGTTGACTGTCGAGCTCTACCGATGGCTCAAGGATGCTATGAAGCCTCTGTTCTGGAGCGATCTGAAGCCCGTTCAGCAACAAGATCTTGAGAAACTGTTCGAAAAAGTCAAGGATGAGCCAGCACCGAAGCAGGAGCGCCTGCTTCGCTCTCAACAGGCAGCGAAAGAGGCAGCTGCAACAGCGCCAGGAGGTGGCGATGACGAGGTCGATGACGAGGAGGAGGCTGCTATCGATTTAGAGCCTGACTTCGAGGCCGTCGATGTTTTTGCGAAGATACCGAAGGACTACAATGAGCGTCTGGGCTCGACCAAGTGGAAAGATCGCAAAGAGGTGCTGGAGGAAACGCAAAAGGCTCTGGACATCCCGAGAATCGCTGAAGGACCATTCGACGACTTGGTACGCGGCTTCGCCAAATCCATGAAGGATGCAAACGTTGCAGTTGTGATCACGGCAGCAAACTGCGTTGAGCTCCTGGCCAAGGGCCTGAAGAAGAGCTTCAACAAATACCGCAAAGACATCATGAACGCCATGATGGAAAGGCTGAAGGAGAAGAAGCAGACCGTAACGGATGCGCTGGGAGCTGCTCTCGACGCCGCATTCGCGTCTTCAAACTTCGCAGATTGCCTGGAAGAAATATTGGAGTTCCTGAAACACAAGAACCCTCAGGTCAAGCTGGAGTCTACAAGGTTTTTGGTTCGATGTCTGAGGAACACTCGCGAGGCCCCTTCACCGCCAGAAGCAAAAACATTGGCGGAAGCCTCGACCAAGCTCTTGACCGAGTCGCAAGAGGTACAGCGTTCTGCGGGTGCGGAAGTACTCGGCACACTATGGAAGATCATGGGAGACCGCATCATGAACGCGCATATGGACGGTCTCGATGACATCAGGAAGAACAAGATCAAGGAATACTATGAGGCAGCGGAAGTCAAGGCCAAGTACAAGCCGAAGGCTGCTGCACCTCCACCCAAGCCTGCAGCTGCACCAGCCGGAAAGAAGCCAGCACTCGGAAAGCGACCAGCTCCCAAGAAGGCCGCACCAGCAGCAGCAGCTCCACAACCACCACCTGCCGAAGAGCCAACAGCACCGCTGGCTCCGAAGCCTACAGCACGCCCTGGTGTGTCCAAGCTCAAGTCAGGTCTTGCAGGCCCACGTCTTGGAGGATTGAAAAAGCCTGGACTTGCTGCTCCCTCGCCGAGGAGGCCAATTGCTTCGCCACCTCTTGAGGAAGAGGATATCGCACCACCACCACAACCGAAATTCGGCGCTGGACGAGGTCTTGCGGGTCGCCCACTGGGCAAGCCCGCTGCTGAGCCCGTTGCTGCCCCAACCGCTGCCCCGACTGGGCTGGGCTTGGTAGAGCGAGCGGAGCTTGAGGAATTGAGAGCCGAAGCTGAAAGACTGCAGCGACACAACGAAGAACTTCGCACGGAGCGCACGAAGCTGACGTCTCAGATCTACGAGCTTCAGAACCAAAACGCTCAACTAATCGAAGACCACACACGTGACGTGCTCTCCATCAAGGCCAAAGAAACTCAACTTGTTCGGGCTCGCTCAGATTATGAGGCAGCAGAACAAACAACACAGTCCCAGCAACGGGAGATTGACCGTTTGAAGAGGGAGCTCAGCCGCCAAGTTCGTGTCACTTCCCCACCTCCTGCAGATCTAGAGCATCAGATCTACTCTGATAGCAACGGGCGCTTCGGTGACTCTAGCTATACCAGCCACGCGTCGTATGGTAGCAAAGACAGCCGCATTGCGAGTGGGCCGATTAGTCCGGGCGGTGACGGTAAGGAGAACTTTGATTCTCTCTCTCGACTAGACAGTCATATGAGTGACAAGCTAAGTCCTCTGCGAGCAGATGCGTCCGGCAAATCGTCGTTCTCATCTCGCGGTGGTCGTAATAGCCCAGCTGAGAACGGCACAAGTCGTCTTGGCAGCTCTCAAGCTGCTTCTGGTGCAGAGAGCTGGAAGCGGGCTGCTGAAGTGACACAAAACTTGAAGCAGAGAATCGAAATGATGAAGGTAGATTCTCAAAAGTATAACAAGAATGGCACGCGCATGACTGACGCATTTACAGGCCAAGCAAGGCATTGGTAGGCCGCCACCACAATAGATCACGCCATCTCATGGCTCTTCTACTTGTCCACATGCGTTCAGTCAGGCTGCAATTTGGTATTTTCACGCGGCGTTCGGTTGCGTTTGGACTCTACATCAGCTCTAGGCCTGAGAGGTTTGTACGTCCTGGGTTTGGGCAGGATTTGCATCAAGTATACGGTGTTGGCGAGGTGTGGTTCGTATCCAAGATTCCCTTTACTACATTAAGCCCACATGTTGGTCTTGGGCTTGGGCTTATGCTACAAAGCAACGGAGGTCACAGAGTCTCGTGTACGATGTGTAGCGTGTAGCAAGGCTTAGCTAGTTTCGCCGTACTTCGTGTCCCTGCGGCGGTTGGGGTCCGTGTATGGAAGGCCCTGAACATCATCACAATGAAACCTTACAACAATGCTTGCAACGTGCATCTCATGCCCCGGCAAATCTCAAGTCCTTTTGCGCCATGGTATCTCACCCCGCACGAACAAGATCATCGGTGGGGTCGACCTGACGTATCAAACGCCTAGAATGACCTGCCAAAATGCCCAGATTGGCCCACCAAACGCCCAGAATGATCTACCAAACGCCCAGAATGATCTACCAAACGCCCAGAATGATCTACCAAACGCCCAGATTGACCTACCACACGCCCAGATTGACTTTCCAAACGCCCGGAATGAATTTGCATTAAGACTTGGCCTGCACACTTACAGCCAATCATAGCATCATCATTCAGCTCTGCACATTTGTCATTGGCCAGAACTTTGCAGTAGCACCGCTCACTATTGCCATTTTATACGGTATCTGTCCCGAAGTTCTGGGTGTTTTTAGGAGCGTGGTCCAAAATGAGATGAACATTGATGCAAGTGTAAATTCCGGGCATGGAACGCTGAAAGGCCTCTGGCCAAGATGAGCAGAATTTCGCCTTATCCACGACGCCAGGCGGCGATCCACAACCTCGCCTGAAGCTCGCTGTTAGACCACGAGATTTGATCTTCATATTTAAAAGTATCATACTCTGTAAGGGCTTCTTCCATAGTCGCGCGTTGTGTTTTTGTAGCGTGAAGAGAACAGTAGTGTCTTGGTGATTCGGCGCACTGATTGTTCTGCGCAATGAATGCATACCAGTAGACATGGTGACATGCTTCCCCTGAGCCTTGTACTCTAACCACACCGTTAAAGTGTTTACCGTAGGCTCTGGGTTAAGCCAATATACCTAGAGCAAGCTACTGAGATATTCAGCCAATAGTACAGCCTTGTTTGAGCATTCTGTTCCGCCCTCGGACAGTTTCAGTGGAGGTGGCGCTAGTCACTTGGTGAATCGGTTCATCTTTTGTTAGGTATACGGTAGTACGAATCTTTGGTCAATGCTTCCCTTCGTATTGCAATATCTGGGTGAGTAATGAGACGTCTATAGGTAAGCTAGCTATGCGACAAAACAAACCTTATTCGGACAGGCAAGCAACATGGACATGTGCACGGATAGTGTGGTAGGCAAATTGGTCTAGATGGTCGCATACGATCGCACGATCTGTGTTCAATGTGACAAGAGCAGCGTGCGTAATCGTTCTAATATCGATTCCTGTATGTATGAGTATATAAGGTACAGCTTGTACCTTCCTTTCAATTGTTACTCTCATCCCTACACAGTCTTTCACACCTTCACACTCTTTTACATCTTCAAACTCTTTAACACCTTACACTCTTTTACCAAGCTACAAAGCCTTTCTAGCGACTTCAACTGCACTCCGCTGCCCTAAACATGTTCAGCTCAATCAAGAATGTGTCCATCATAGCACTTTGCCTCGCTGTTTCCACCAACGCGGCTGCTATCCCTTCAGTTTCACCTGAAGCCCTCAACGCCTTCGGAATAACGGAGGCAGACTTGATTCAGGCTCGCAGTGCTCCAGAGTCCGATCTAGTCGAGGCCCGCGCTACTCTTCAAGCTCGCGTCGCGTCCTGCAAGCCTCCTCAAACGCCTGCCAACGCTACCTACGGAGCATGCGTCCTGCCTCTTACTACAGAAGCTCGCAACGGCAACACAATCCTCATGATAATTCTTGCCGAATATATGACAAAACGCATGGGATGCCCTCTTGACGGCATCTCTGGCGCTGCGAACCGTCCAATTGGCAATATCATGGCGCGTAGATGCGGCGGCCCTGGCCCTGAGCGCATCGACCAGGGAGTGCAGGGATTCTCTATCAATTCATCCTTCAATGAGGCTCCTTGCCGTCCCGGTAGCAAATGTTCGTGAAGATGGTCAATCAAATAGGCAGAAAGGGTACTTATAACAGAACGATATGTCAAGAGATCGCCTCTTTTTCTACCTAATCATCTTAGTATTATATACTTAGTTTTAGCATATAAAAATGTACTTGTTTATTCAGCTGCGTCTGCTTCTAGTCCAAGTAGCTTATTGTTAAGACTTCTTTAGAGCTGAAGTACATTCTTTAAAACACACTTTGCTCTGGTTGAACCTGTCGCAGCACATATCATGCCTATTTACCAGCTAGTTTAGGGGTGCAAATGTATGTACATTTTGCCTCTATTTTGGCTGCAACAGAACCTCTTAGACCCGAGCACATATTCCTGACCACCGGCGCCAGCAATGCGATTGAGCACGTGAACATATTGTTTGCGATGACGGAGTGGCGCAAGTAGCGACTGTCTCTCTCGGATTTGTGTTTGGAAAAAGTCTAGTTGGTTTCGACCCCTAGCATCCTCTCGAGCCAATGTCAACATCATCGTTGCTTAGCCTCCCACGTATACTAACTATTGAGTGGGGAGAAGGAATTCGAGAGCAAAAGATTCCAGGATTCTTGCATTCTTCGGCGAGATGTACTGCGCCATCAATACCGGCGTACATGTAGTTCGGCGAGACGAGTCCTGTGAGGAGCGCGATGCCGTTGGACCAGCCGCCATCGTTGAGGAAGGTCGTCCACACCGACGCTGTGGGCTGGAAGCGCGATGCCGTCTGAGCAAGGCAAGTCACGACGATCACAAGAAAACTGCTAATCGACACGAAGACTATGTGTTCGAGGGATCAGTAAGAGTCCTACTCTTGTGAAGTGACAAAGTAATTCGAGCGCTGACTTACAAGCAAGGTCGTGCACCCACATCGTGCGCCGAAGCAGATAGATGTTGTAGACCAGTAACAGGGCATTGATGGCCTGGTACAAAAGGAAGGCGTGCCACGCTTGCGGGACATACGTCGGGTTCTAGAACACAGCCATACCGAGGCACAGCTGAGGGACAATGATAGCAATGCCTGCGCAAATCGCTATCCAAGAGAAGACGTTTGTTGCTCCACAGCAGTAGCTCTGTTAATTGTCATCGTTCATGCCATCCTTGTCATTGGATCTAAGTCAACTAACTAGTTGACGGCTCTATTTCTCGGGAGCCAGTATCGAAACCCAGTGGTAATGCACACCAGTCTGGAAAGATCAAATTTACTCAAGCCACTTGTCATTCAAAGCAACTTACTGTAGGATATACGCTCGCCAGCTCCGCCAGTGAGATGGCACAAGCACCGATTAGAACGCACATGATGATGGGCCCGTATATCAACGTTGCCGGGCCACCTTGTGCGATAGCCAGAGCAAAGGTCGCAGCAATACCTGCCCAGCTGTTGCAGATGATCCAACCTGCGGATATGGTTTCTATACTGCTCATGTTCCGTACTTCTTCATTCTGGAGGACAAGGCCTTCGAGGTGGGGAGTCTGGATCTGTCCTTGATGCTGCGATGGTACTACGCCTACCGTCAGTTGAGGGTTGGTGGACCGTGGTAATGGGTCTTTTTATGTACTCACAGCGCTCAAGGTCCGTAGAGACCTTCAATTCGTAGTCTATCTTCTTCTCAGTAGGGTCCATAGTGATGGTAGGTGAGGATGATAGTCTGGCTGTTTGTCGATGACAGGCTTGTGGCGGACGACTTATATATCAAGTCGGCTCCTGTCTTATCACTGTCGCCTCCAGTTCAAGGAGATACGATGTATCGAGAGCGAGGTGTGGCCTATCGCCCATCACTGCAATCATCCCCCAATTGGTTTATCTGGACTATGAGCTATGAGATAGTCATCCGACATGAGGGTTTTCCCTTTATTGCCCTGATCGGGCAAGCGCGTACTGCCCACATCCATAAGTCGTTAATTGAACGCGGAGTTTGAGCCATGGCTGATCACGCGCTATCATACCAGGGTGACACGCGGCAATTTAGCTTCGGCACCGATCCAAAATGCGATCTGGCCTTTGATGTCGCTAGGCGGTCGTTGGACCTTCGCGGACTGAGTCGCGTCCCGTCAACGTGTTTGTAAAGTCACACTTTCCAGCAATGACTTTTCCCAGACATTCACAACCTTGGGAAGCTAGCAAGATCGATATTAAAAAGTCATCTCCTCTACATGACCAACCTACAGGCTGGGCTTTACTGTTTCGAGCTCCGCCAGCTCCTTTCTTACTTCGAACGCTGCCCTGGTTCCCTCCTCAATCGCTCCATCGATGAAACTCCTCCAGCCCAGTGCCCAATCTGCGTTCGCGAACATCACGTTCCCATGTCTCGCTCTCATGTCGTCGAGATGGTTGGCGAGCAGCCCAGGTGGTGGGAAGAACCACGCGCCCTTTGCGAATTCGTCCTTCGACCAGTTGTGAAACACCAGCCTCTCGATCTTAGGCTCCTTCTCCTGTTGCACGAACATGTTCGTTACTGCGCGCTTTGTCGCGTCAATGTTGACCTCAGGATCAATGTGTTTGTTGCTACCGCCGAAGCAGACAACGTGTGTGTTGCCTGCAGGTGTCGTGCCATCACCGATTGCGTACATGAGTTCGTTGTGCGGGTATGTGACGCCTGTACATGAGCATAGGTCTTTGTTAGATATCTCGGCGTGAACCTTGACGCATTGGTTGGCGTGACCTGTTGCAATAGCTGCTTTCTTGCCGGCGCTGAGTGGCGGATCGAATGTGACCTCGCCCAAAACGTTCAACGGCATGGCGGAGATCAGGCGTACAGCATGGTAGCGACGACCATCACGTGTCGTGACCTCGACTCACCAGTGCATGAACTCGTGGAAGCTCATAGTAGTAAGTGTGGCACCACTGCTGAGCAGAATGAACGATTCCAGCACTGCTCGCTCGTGCGGCGAGAGTTGTGACTCGATCTCGTTGATTCGGTCCTGGGCGGAGAGCTTGTCGAGATCTTTCGCCGCCGGGACATAGAAGGTATCGTATGGCAGAGGGATAATGTTTCCTCCATAGGCTCCATCGATGTTCGTAAACTTGTTCAAAGCTGAGATGATAAGTTCATCCTCCAAATTATCAGTTCAAGAACGCAGCTATTGTAGATGAGAAGCACAAACCTCTTTCTCGTGAGTCATGGTGCTACCTTGCTGACCAATATTCAGCTCGTAATGATTGACGCCGTGCGAGAAGTCAAAGGACTTCTCAACATCGTTCATCATCTGGTATCTCAACATCTCGCGCCATGTGTTCGATTGTCCCCAATGGACCCACGTACCGCCCATCTCGAAAGGGTAGCCGTCGATATTTGAAGACCATGAGCGACCTCCAATATGGTCACGACCTTCAAGTAGGAGGACCTTCAATCCTTCGGCTGAAGCATTGCGTGCAGCTGTAAGACCGCAGTATCCAGCGCCGATAACAATGACGTCGTACAAAATCTCCGAGCTAGAGACGTTACTCGGAGGGCTGATGGAACCGAGGGTTGGCACACCAGATGTCAGGCCGGATGCAGGAGTCCATGTGTAACCATCGCGTGAAGTCATATCGTGAGGAAGACGCGCTCAAATGCGACAGACAAAGTAATTGATCGTGAAGAAATTGCGGTGTACGAAACGCGACTGAGGACCACGGGTTTTAAACGGCACATAGCTCCAAGACTCATTTCGTTATCAACTACTTTAAAAGACAATTCCATCGTTCGAGTATGAATATGAATACCATTTCGCGGCATTCAAGTGAGGAAGCTATGGCCAGGCGTCGGTTGATCGGCCAAAAAACGAGCTTCTTCGTCGCTCAACGCTGCCGGTACTACCTTAGCGCCATGCAGGTGCAAGGCGCGTTGAGTGGAGCTTCCTGATTCGGATGTTAAAGTGAGAGAGCGACCCCCGCACACTTGGACGCTTTGCAACGGCTCGCTTTCAAAGATTATTCACCTTCGAGAGAACATGTCTCTAATGCTACGCAATTGCGACAAGTCGCAACATGTCCTGCCATCTCCACGGGCGTAGCTAACCTGTCTCGATTGCCCTATCTTGATACCGAAGACTTACAGAGTGCGTACGTCGGAGCAAGACATCCACCAGTGTAACGGCGGATGGCATAATAGCAATTGCTCATATCCCGCTTGAGCTCATGTTGATTTGACTCGGGCGGCCGACAGTAAACCGAGCATCGCAGCCACTACAAGAGAGTCGCCCAGTCTCGATCTAGGAGATCGCTCGCGTGTATCGATGGCCGGAAAATGATCAGAATGTTGACCGAAGGCACAGACTTAGATTTCACCGTACCCAGAGGTGAATTATAAAAGGCGACATCAATCACGTATCACAAGCAGCGTGCGACCGATTTCAGAGTCAGATCTTGCTTATCTGCTCGTTTGACCGGGCCTACTCTACATAGCCGGGCTTTCACGTGGCAGGAGGTGCAGTGTTTCGAGAAGCAAAGCAGCACCGTTTATCAGACCATAGAATATCATGGGTATCACCTGGTCGAGGTCAGCATATCTGCTCAATGAGGAGCATTGAGGCCACTTACACCAAAGAACAGATTACCGAGTATACCCCTGCGCATGATCGTCTCAGCCAGCTCCGTCTTCGCTATTCCAGGCGCATCTTTGCTCTTGAAGGGGCCTATAAGTCGGTAGAATGTGACAAAGCTGGCGCCAAAGCAGTAGATCAACAGCACCTTCAGCCCATGTGTCGTCCACAGCTCGACAACACCAGGCGCACCACCGAAGTCCTTTGCGAGCGTACTCATGTATGCGCTGTGGTCAACGCCGTACCGGATACGAGCAGTATCGGGCGAAATGAGGTGGTAATGTGGTGGGTCAATGGGCATCTTCATGCGTCCGGTGATCAGTGCAGTCCACCACATTGCTTGTTGTTCAGCAATGGGTGGTATAGCACCAACACCTGGGCGGACAAAGCCGATGAAGGCGACACTTTGCTCATCTGGAGCAATAATGTTGCGTACCGTGGCATCTGAAGCTGTCTTGTAAGACGGGTGCAGGTATGAGAAGGATTGCCTGTAGCCAGTACAGTAGACCACGAGGGTCGGTCTGACTTCTGCATCCTTCATGCGCCTCCAGTCCTTTCGCGCTGTGGTCTTTTGAAAGATGACTTTGCCAGTCTTATCTATACGCTCAGGGAATGTACATGTATCCACCCACCTCTTCGATTGCGCATCTTCTGGAGGATCCACGTAGCCGTTGCCCAAGAAACCAAGAGGGTGTTTCTCCTGATACGGCCGGTTCAGGTATGGCATTGCTTTACTGCTTTTGTTCAGGAACACAAACGCTCTGCCCAAGCGATCGTGTGGCAGGGCGCCGACGTGCTGATTCATGCCGGCTTGGGTACCTGTGAGGAACCACAACACACGCTTGATGACAAAGTCAGATACAAACCAACGCATACGGCTTGCAGCAACCGCATTGTGGACGTAAGCGGTCTCGAAGAGGTTGGTGATGAGGCCATCGATAGGCAGTCCACCTTTGAATTGCTTGCCAAAGACTTTGAATTGGGAAAGAGCCTTTGGAAAGGACAAAAAGCCAGCCCTAAAGCACATGGTAACCGACTTGGCGTCGGCCTTGATAGCCTCATAGGCAACATCTGTAACTGTCAGTTGTGAGTTCCACATAGAGTGCCATACCCATACCCATGCCGGTCTCTCCACAGCCCATGATCAGGACGTCTTGGCCGGTAAGTTGAGCGCGACCCTTGTACTGCGAGGAATGTAAAGCTTCTCCCTTCAGGTTCTCAATGCCTGGTATAGAGGGCACGTTTGGCTCCACATGGAGACCTGTTATCTATGAGTGTGGGATTCAGTATTCGATATTATCAATCACCTACCTGTGCAGATAGCAACATGCGAACAGTCAAAGGACCGCTCCGTGTCATTCTCCAGGTCCACATACTTAACTCGGTGTTTCCATTCGGTATCAACAGACTTCTCGATAGGTGTGATGCTGGTGACTGGACATCTAAGCTTGATGCGAGAACTGAGCGCAAAACGGTCTACGTAAGCTCGAAGGTACTCAACGTATTGCGGCAACGATATATGGTCTGGGGCTGACAGTGGAAAACGATGATCAGAGAAGGTCGTCAATTGCTTCGAAGAGACAAGTTCGGCGTTCTCGTATGATCGATACTGGAAAGTACCCCCGATGCCTTCTTCACTGTTCGCCACTTAGCTTCTGTTGAACCACAGCGACCCGGTCGGGGGAACGCTGTATGGACCGTGCACAAGGGACCTTACGCTTCGAACAACACGGCCTCAATCGGTCTATCAGGAGTAGATGCCTCGAGGAGGGTCTTGAGTGTGGTCAATCCTCCAGGGCTAGTCACGTGTTAGCCACGATAGTAATGTGTGATGCGATTCGGATGTACGGACCCTGCACCAATGACAGCAACGCGCATCATTCGCGCCTTGTCTGTGCCTGCCATGTTGTCTGATCCACACGCGCAAAAGAGACGCTGCGATTGAGTGTTGTCTATACTACAGATTAGAATGACGTTATCGTAGTTATCACGCAGTGTCGTTGTTGCACCTGCAGGACGAGCGCATTCGAACCTGCAGTTCTCACCCAATCAGCGGATTGTCGTGACGTATACATTCGTTCTCTCAGCTCCCTTCCACTAAGCTACTCCAAAACAATTGTGGATTCCTGAATTGCGGCAAGGTTTGTCGCAGATACTGCCCCTTGCGGCCTTTCTCCGACAAATTGGAAACCTTCAGCAGCCGAGGAACACCGCGCCAGCTCACGCCATGTCTACTGCCCACTTAATTGCAGCGCTTCTGTATAGCTTCATTGTCTACTCTCGACCTTAATAATGGAGTCACAGCAACATGTGAGGGTTGCTGTTGTGGGCTCGGGTATGGCAGGGCTTGTCACAGCCCACCTGCTCAAGCAAGACTGTCGCGAAAGATACATGGTGAAAGTGTTTGAGTCGGTTTGTTGCACAATTGACGTACACCAACAGTCACGAAGTCTGACAAGGTTCTCAGGGCAACACACTCTCCCTCGACTCGGCGTCCGTCTCCATCTCCAATGCTGCGCGCACATCGTCCGACCGCGTCGACCTGCCCATGCGCGCTTTCGCTGGCGGCTTCTACAGCAATCTGGGGTCCATGTACGACTACTTGGGCATCCAATATCAGTCACAACCCTTTCTGTTCGAATTCGCGCAATCGAAATCGCCCTACTTCACGCACGCGTCGAATCTACATCAGCTCCCTGCGCGGCTGAATGGCGTCAGCTTGATTTCATACCTGCTCGAATTCGGGATTCTCACTCTGTGTTACGTCTACTTCTCGCTCTGCTGCTTCTTCATAGCTCCGCATCCAGGCGAGACGCTGAAAGCATACTTTGATCGAACATGGACACCAAAGTACTTCGCAACATACTACGTCCTTCCGCTCATCTCGAGTGTAACAACCTGTCCTCACGAATCGCTGCTTGCGTTTCCTGCTTCTGACCTGACAGAATACAAACGAAGAACGCACCGAGCACCACACTACACCGTCTCAGAAGGAGTTCGAGCAGTACAGGATCGTTTGGCAAAGGGCATACAGTACGAGCTTAACGCTGTGGTTACTGCAGTTGAGCCAAACGAGAAGGGCGTGCAGTTATCGTGGAGGGGTGCCGACGGACAACAGCGAATGGAGACGTTCGACAAAGTTGTCTTGGCGGTTGCGCCTGATGTCGTAGGACAGGTCTTCGGGCCTTTGCAACACTACATGGCACGCATACCGACAGCTGTCGTGGAAAGTGTCGTACATACAGACGATACTGTATTGAACCAGGGACATGAGCAGAAACTAACGGGCAAATTGAACCACAACGCGCAGTTGATCCACCTGAACACATCGACGTCTACGGGGCACAAGACGGAGTCACATCATATCCAGCCGTGCGGTGCGATCGTTACCACTTGCCCCTTCAGTCCTCTGGAAGAGTCTCGAGTCACTCACTCTGTCAGCTTCACACGCGTTCTTCGAAGCCCACAGAGTCAGCGCATTGTCAACGCGATATTTGGAGATACCCAGGAGTGCTATAGTGATGAGAAGACAGTTCCGCTTTGGAGGAACGGAGATGACAACGTTTACCTTGTTGGAGGTTGGTGCTGGGATGGCATGGTATTGCTAGAAGGCTGCGTGGTGTCAGCTATGCGAGTCGCGAAGGCCTTGGACATAGAAATACCCTGGAGGTAGCATCATGTATGTCATGCATGTGACCAGAATTGCTGCGTCGTCTTGAACAATAGATTGAGGACCTCGGAGCAGCATTTTCCCAATTTGAACTAACGTGGTCCACCACCGAGCGGATCACCCCACCGAGCGAATCACTCTGCCAAGACCACAACGCTTTCTACTATCAATTACAATGGCTCAACCAGTTGATCTTGAATTACTTTCCTGTGCAGATAGAGTTATACTTGCTACCCAAGCAATGAAATCTAACGCGTCACTAAGCCAGCGACGCGCTGCTGCTATCTACAAGGTTCCTCAAAGTACACTTAGCCATCAAGGCGCCGGAAGAACCCCACGACGCGATACCCACCCCAACTCATCTAAGCTTCAGAAGCATGAAGAGGAGGCAGTTAT